TCGCCAGCTGTCCTGGCTCCCAGGCAGTCCCCCAGCACTCCAGGAGAGCAGCTCGGGCCAGTTTTATCACGGATTCTGCTCTCTTTAACAGGTGACACTTCACCCTTGAAAAGGGATCTCAAGTAACTCTAGGATAATCAGTGTATTGACATCTTCCCTTGTCTTTGGGCGTAACACCCCACAATTTGAAGTTTTCCCTTCAAAAATAAAGTGTAAATACACACGGAGTGCAGGGAAGGAAAAAAGCACTACTTAGCAAATGCATACTGCAACAAACACAATAAAATCACATTGCTCACACAGCCTAGAATAAATACTCTAATTCCAAAATTCAACAAAAATAACATTGGCAGAAAGAATGCAAAACTTCACCTCCATACAAACCCATTGAGTGCACGGCAAGCTGCCTGTCCCCAGAGTCAAATCTACTCTGTAGAGGTTCACAGCATAAAAAAAAACAGATAACCTTGTGCGGCTGGAGGCTGTTACCTTACAGAATCTAAATTTTTCCAACTGATGAGTGTAAAATTGTACATTTTGTTTTAATTGTGCAGTTTTACACTCCACAATTGGAAGAATTTAGAAATGCACTACTACTCATAATGTTTATTAACTGAAACAGCCTTTGCATTTTATTAGAAGCATATGAAAATTCCAATAAAATTCTATTTTTAAATTGGTTTTATAATTATTTTTATAATGTTGCTGCAATACATAAGGCTCTTAAGCATGTTCAAGAAGAGAAGCTTTACGGTTTTTATATTCCTGTCCTCTGTTCCACCTTCTACCCAATGCACCTATTTCCCACCAGAAATCTGCTTTAAAAATAGTTAGCTACTAAGAGCTCGAAACACTTCTTTTCGCACAGGATGTACCAGATCCAATACCACATTTATCACTATCCTAAGTCTGATGTGAAGTAAATCAAATAATGTAATAGTCTTATTTACAAGAAAGTCAAGCAAAAGCTGTTGAAAAAGAATACATCGGTGACTGCAAGTCTCCCCGTGCCGCAAATGTTTCATGTGAGAGACAACTGCAAACCAGAAAGCGAGACATAGATTAATTCTGCTGCTGAATGTATATTTTGGAATCATGCATAAGAGATTGAATTATGTTTCGGCAAGGAATCAAAAGAAACAATTTAAAAAGCTGACACCCAAGCCACAAGAGAAGATGTATGTTCATTTAAAGCAGCCCATTACCAAAGCTATTGAAACAAAATAAACAAGACCCACAGTAACAGCTGGGAGGTCACGAAGCTCCTGTCTTCCTTCTGTCCCAGTGTGCTCATTCTGGTAATGTTCAGACAGATCAGTGGGAGTTACACACACTTTCATACACAGTGGACAGATGAAGCCCTGTGAAATGTATATTTGTTTTTAAGAAACTCATAAAGACAAAAAAAAAGCAGATTTGGAATCAAACGCTGTTCAAATTCTTACACTGAAAGTTCTCTACAATCACCAAAAGCGAAGTCTGTTTTCCTTCTGGAAAGACAGTTTTTGCAAACCATGTATCAATGCCATGGAGAAGGCAAGAAGCAACAGTCATTAACATGAAATTAAACAAATCTAAAACACACTTTAAAAGCCAGCACCATGCTGCATACTACTACACGTTTTCCAGACACTCTTGGTACCCCCTTCAAGCTGCATAACAAATTGTGAACAGACATTTCAGATCCTTCATGCAGTTTCCCATACGGGTGTTCCGATGTTTCTCGGAGACAAGAGTGGTGCGGTGAGATTACAGAAATACCCCTGTAAATGAATAAGCAAGCTGACGGCAGCAGGAGAGGCCTAGGCGCCAGCACAGCTGCACACCTGGCTGGCATGCTAACCAGAGATTTACCAAAGCCAAAAGTTACACCTGTTTCTAAAGAACAACAGCTTTACATCTTCAAGACACTTGCCACATGCTTGAACACCTAGAAAAAGCAGGGTGGAGAGTAAAGTACTCAGGGACTCTGTTCACGCTGCTGGCTGGAGGATGCCCACACCTCCGCGACAGAGCACTGCAGAGGCAGGCAGAACAGACTGAACGCAACCCTCCGTGCATGCATGGAAAGGTTAAAGCCCCTTCCAAAAAAGAATGTCTGTGGCAAACCTCTCTAGCCAACGCAGCCACATTACACTAACGAAAGCGTAAGCACGCTGGTGGACTCACTCCAAGCACGGAATCTTTAGCCACCCTGTACAGCCGACAGGGTTGCCCTGAGACCTAAGCTACAAAGGCAGGATAGGCTCAAAGGTTTCCTCCTTGGGCAGATTGCATAGAGAAGAAAAGATGTATCTAGACTTCATTACAGATCTATGTGTGATCTGAAGTGCTGATGTAGCCACAGACGGGACTAAAACAGATTTTCACCTCTCCTTGAGCAAGTAACAGTTTGAATTCAGACTTCCCCACCCCTTTTGTTTCATACTACAATTCTCAAAAATCAGGATTGATTTCAACCAGGCTTGAGGAGGTAGGAAACATGAGAATCTGCACAGATGTAGTGATTATTCTCCATTTGAATGTTGCAGCAATACAAATTGGAAAATCTAGCCAAGAAACTGGAGTGAAAATAAGTCAACTGGATTTCTGACTTTACGTAATGCTGGAAACAGGTGGGAACATAGTGACAAAATGGAGAGCAAACATTCTGCAAAGTCTGGCTACAGTGCTCCTGGAGAGAAGTTCTCAGAGAGACAACACCTCAGGCCAGCTGCACAGGAAAAGGAAGACCAACAGAAAGGCTTGAGCTGAGTGCTGCAACATGCGAATCTCAGGAGAGTAAAAACCCATCACCAGCTTCGGAGCTCAGTTTCAAACAGATTTTGAAACTACATGCTAAGGAAAACACCCCACTTAAACCAATGCAACAGATGGTGGAATTATCAACAACTAAAAGATACTTTTCCACATTATACAGTATCAACCAAAAGTGACACGGCAGCCTTTGGCCTGACCCAGTTTGGACCTGGTAGCAAGAAAAGCCAATGGTGCAATAGTGCAGGCACACCACTACTTTGGAAGCTCATCCTATGTCAAGAAACTACTACTACATTAGCACTGAGGTACCTCGTGACACCCACCAGCTGTACAGTCAGTGATACTGCACTCATGCTAACAAAATTGTACAACTTTAGCCAAACTTTGGAAAGAAGTAATTATCTCATTGCATATTTTTATGCCCTTAGTAACTACAAAAGTAATGAGATTTTAGTCTGCAATTTAAAAGCATTTATTTGCTTCAAGGACTGTGTAAATATGCACATACACCAGATCTGGACTCACAAACGCTTGACATGTATAACATGCAGCAAAACATCAAGGAGCATCTGATCATACTGACTGTAACAAGGCTTCAAGAAGTAAGAAATAAGCAGATGCACAGATGGAAGGCAATTAAAATCACAGAATCATAGAATGGTTTGGGTTGGAAGAGACCTTGAAGATCATCTAGTCCAACCCCCCTGCTATGGGCAGGGACACCTTCCACTAGACCAGGTTGCTCAAAGCCCCATCCAACCTGGCCTTAAACACTCCCAGGCAGGGGGCAGCCACAGCTTCTCTGGGCAACCTGTTCCAATGCCTCACAGCACAGTGAAAGTTTCCCTTATCTCTTACCATAGCAGACATAAGAGTATTTGAACCATCATACACTTTATTCAGCATAAGAAAGAGCACTTTGCTCCCTTTAATGCTGTAATAGGAGTAATTAACCTTGCACTGCATTTGTATGCTAAGCTTGAAACATTTTCAAGCTAGGTAATCAGGCTACATTAGCACAAACTAGCTTCAACAGCCAGTGAAGTCAGTTTGCATTTTTCAGAGTTAATATTTGACAACACTGTAAATCCAAAGACATTGTAATATGGGATTGAAGTAAGAATAACAACTTATTCTGCTGGTTAAGCATTGCATACAGCACATTAAAAATGGATGGGATTTACAAGTGGTAGATTTATACACCAACACCAAACAAAAACCAACACGTTTGATATTTCCCAAGGAGAAGGAGGTTTCCAGTATACATTATAGCTTAGGAGATGCAAGATGAAAACGGAGTACAAGTGCAATAAAATGTTAAGCCATGTTTTTCAGGACTCTCATAAAAGGTTTATCAACGACGAGTCTTAAGTTTATGTGTCTCACTGCTTTTAATTTGATAATTCACCTCTAGGATTACAGGAAGGATTGCTTGTGATCATTTAGATAGATAAGCCTAATTAACAGTGACATATAAATATGGCCTAGCCTTCCTTTTTTTATTTAAATAACAACCAAATCTTAGAACATGACACTTTTGAGTATTTATTTAGTACAGCTGTTATTTGGGTAGCGCATCAAAAGTTACTCCCAATAGCTTCATGGATCAGAGAAACAGCGCCCAAGGTTTAAGACTCCAGGCCCATGTACGGTGCACAGTACCTCAGAGGAGCCTTCATTGTTCACGTCCACCGCATTTCCTGGTGTGGCAGATGAATCCGAATCTGAACTCTGAGACCCACCTCTACCTGGAGTCTGAAATAAAGGAGGGAGAGAAAAGTGAGTGTCTACAGATTGTGTTTAGTAAAGCACGGTACACATCCTACGCAAAGGCCTCTCTCTTCTACTTAGTGGAATACAGAAGTATTTTCCCTCCACAAGAGTAGTGAAGAAAAAAGCTGACAACTAATTATATAATTTTCAATGCAACACTCCAACAACAGCTTTTATCCAAGACTCTCCATGCATCAAAGAGCAGGCAAACACCAGAAGCAAAGGCCAGGATTTTAAACCACCTTCTCTCATGAACACTCAACACAAATCAAAGAATTAGGCTAAACTCTGCCCTTATCTATCACTCTCTCTGATGTTAAATTAGGTCTCTATGTCCAACCAGAAAACATTAGAAATTAAAATCTAAACAGTTTCAGAAGTAGTAAACTAGTATTATACTACTTCCTTGATAACTCATCTACAATCTGAGCAAGCCCTTAAATATTTGAAAGTCAGAAAACTAAAGAGTGAGGACCCTGCTGACACAGTATCTGTACAAGCAGGTATATTGCCTTGATTTAGAAATACTAAAAATCAAGCCTGTGGTAAAGTTAAAGCATGTTAATTGGTAAGACAACCTATAAAAATAAACTCCTAGGAGTATGTTGAAAATCAAAACAACAGTATTGATTTTCAACTATAGATTTAGAGAAAATAAGCAAATAAATTTGAAATTTAAAAAAAAATCAAAATCCGGATAGATGGATCGCAGTTTATAATCCTTATTTAACTAGAACTTTGATTTAAATTTTATTTAACTTCTACTCATTTCCAGAACGCCACTGCTTCAGTAAAGAAATTATCTTAGCACTGATATGCAATCCTAGTTTCAATAAAAAATAAAAGGTCATTATCCAATTCCATGATCACAATTGCAAATGGGATGAACTAATGCTACTGCTGTATTTTAGCCCATCTGGAAATACCTGTAATGTTATAAAGTCTTTTCTAATTTAATATAGAGGGACTAAAGATTTTTAAATATATAGATGGAAACCTATAGAGATAGGGACAGAAGTAGATAAACAACCTTAGTTTCTAGATCTTGGTGTCTCCAAAATCTTATTTGTTTTAGAATTTTCTTGCTCAAATATATCCACTTTTTTTTTCCAGACAAATCTGCTATAAAAACATGCAGCACGCATGATTTTCCATACTTTGAAAATTAAGTAGATTTTCCCACTTTGTTTTGTAAAGAATGTTCTATTTCCAACTTTCATAAAGATAACAGCCTTTTATTACTAATCAAATAAAAAAAAAATGTAACAAAAGTTCAAGTTTACTGATTAAGGACTTAATTCCCAGTGAGATACAGTTCAATTTTAGAACAGCTCCAAAGACTGGCCAAAGGGAAGTGAAGACAAGTGAAGCAGCTATTGGGGCTGGCGACAGGAAGTGAAGAGGAGGATCATCTCTCCTCATCCCAGCTCCCTCTGGGGTCATCAGTTAAGTGATCAACATACACTTGTTTTCCTACTCCTGTGTCTTTTTTATTTTATCTGTTTTACGTTTCTAAAGAAAATAAGAACACAATAGTTTCCTTCTAGTACAGCATACAAAACCAACAGGCAAGGCTATGCAAGCTTTCCAAGTGAATAAAAGAAGAGGCAAAAAAAGGGTGTAAGTAAAGAACACGATGCACGTGCAAGGCACGTCAAGGTGAAGGCATGAGTACCTCTCCTCCAGGTCACTGATACAGAGAGTAAACCAGGCACATCCCAGCATGCACCACGGCTGCACGCTCATCAAGCTTTCATATGACACCAAACTGGGAGGACCAGCTGACACACTCAAGGGCAGGGCTGCCATTCAGAGGAACCTAGATGGGCTGGAGGAACAGGCCAACCAGAACCTCATGCAATTCAACAGGGACAAATGCGGAGTCCTGCGCCTGGGAAGGAAAACCCCTGGCAGCAACACAGGCGCCTCTGCTGAAAAGGACCCAAGGCTCGTGTCAGACAGCAGGCAGAGCAGGAGCCAGCAGCGTGCCCTGGCAGCAGACAGGGCCACCAGCACCCTGGGTTGTATCGACAGAAGCCCAGCCAACTGACCAAGGGAAGTGATCATCCCCCACCGGCCAGCACCTGTTGGACCACATCGAGATACTGCATGCCGTTTTGGTTATCCCAGTCAGGGAGGACATTGATAAACCAGAGTTCAGCAAAAGGCCACCAAGACAGCTGAGGCTGGAGCATCTGCCCTGCGGAGAGAGGCTGAGGGAAGAGGGCTGGCTCAGCCTGGAGCAGAGACAGCTTTGGGAGGTCCTAACAGCAGCCCCACCACCATCCATGAGGAGGTCATCAAAAACAGGAAGCCAGGCTGCTCCCAGCCACGCACAGCAGGAGGGCAGGACACAAAAACCGAAACAAGAGAGGTTCCCACTGGACGTAAGGAAAAGCTTTTCCAGCGTGAAGCCAGGCTTGAGCAGCCTGCTCCTGACCTCTGAGCTGGTCCTGACTGCAGCAGGAGCTCAGACTAGAGAGCTCCTGAGCTCCCTTCCTGCCCAAATTGTTTCATGATCTCTGAAGCGCTGCCCTGCAGAAACACATGTCCTGCAGGAGAGCTCTGAAACGCAAGTTTAGTGACCCCATTAAGGAAGACATGGATTGTGTGCACTGACAGACGGAGGAGTAATATCAAAAGCAATTGCTGTAGCCAAGTTTCTCAGTAAGACAGATAAGCTAAGAATATTGCATCTAATGTTATAAACAGTTTTCTTCTGTTTATATAGTTCAGAAGTTACTTTCCATGCAACCCATAAACCACAGTAATACAACTCAGAGGTAAGGCTCGCTTGTGAATCCACTTTGTGCGAGAACAAAGAATCCAAAGAAGATGTATATACATATATGTCTACTTAAGAGAAAATGAAGAGGTCAGGTGTCAAAGCTTTCTTCCATAAAGGAGCTGAGCTTTCACGATACAAGAATCAATTTCTTATTGAGAGGAATTTTTAAAAAGGCTTTAGGAATCCAAACGTGATAAAAAAGCTTTTGTACAGCTGTTAGCTATGGCGGCTGTTCTGCTCTAGAAAGCCAGAGAACTTAGACCCCTATCTGTCCCAGCATCTACACCCACAAGTACAAATGGGATGTTTTGAACTGAAGGAAGTGTCAGCGTTAATGGGTAAACACTTCTTTACTAATGCTTTACAAGAGATGGAAGCCTTTTGTTCCACTCTTCAGCTCCCAAAACTGAAGAATGTGCCTTCACGTAGCCTTGGACAGAAAGACACAAGAGCAGAGGGAAAACCTGAACAAAATTTGATGGCCTTGGGCAATCACAATAAGAGATGGTCCAACTGTCTCTTTAGACAGGCAGAATATACCTTCACTTTTACAATACCTGAGCGTATGCTTTCAGCATACCTAATGAATCATTTCATCCCAAAACCAAGAATCATCTGTGACAGTTAACAAAGTATTTTCTTCATCTTCTATTGTAACTTCTTATATAACGCTGCTATGCACTGTTAATCGCCCATCACACTTCACCCCAGAGTTGACTGCATTGCATATTAAGTTCTGCTAGTTGTAGCACTACAAATTGGAGAATATTACATCCTCCAGAATGAAAGCTCTTGTTATTAAAACCACAGTGCTATTATTATGTGGTTGATTAAAGTACGTGCTTTATGAAACACCTCAGACATGCTATAATCACACTAAAAGGCACTACATGGCATGTCTTAATAGGCATAATATATAAAACAGAAATTATTATACAGTACCTGGTAAAATCCTTTTAACACTTCAAAAACCAGTGTGCTCTTTTTAAAAGAGAAAGCATAATTCCAAGCTAGATTTAGAAAGCTTAGTACATATAAGTGACATTTTCTGGCAAGTGGCATGCACAAGGAAGAAGGGTGGGGAGGAAAGAGGTCATTAAGTAACTTTCAAGATCTGGAGAAACACCCCAGAGCATCCATTTGCAAAGTAATACAGACCAGCTAGAAAAATTGAATGCAAATTTGGAAGGATGTTATGGAAACCAAGACCATAAATGCAATTAACTTATCTTTCAAGGCTGTAATATAATTTAAATATCCTTCACCAGACAAATAAAGAATGGGGGATTGGGAATATTTTTGTAATTGATCACTGCATGATCAAATAGGTTCACACACATGCTTAAGCTAGGCTCCCAAACCACTGTTATAGCACGTTTCATTTAAAAAAAAAAACCACACCAAAAAACACAACACATTGAACAACTCAGACTTTGTGAACTAAGGAAAGACTCAGAATGATTCTCTTCATTTTCCATTGCACTATACAGGGGAGCAAAAGAATGACTTATGAACCCCATAGGAAAAGCAAATTTTCACAGAGGCTTCTGTATATGCGTTTTTACAAAATTAACATTTGACCCTTAAAGGCATACCTGGAGTTGAAAGACTGATGCAAAACTAGTCTCTTACCCAGTGTATTTCTTTCCTAGTTGTCAGAGTTATATTTGTTTACTTTGCAGAAAAGCATGTGTTTCTACTACTAGCACTACAGTTGTAGAAGTAATATGCCAAACTTCATAATGTTGTTCTCTGCGTTTTCTCAAAACTGCAAGCTAATATAAAGAAACATCATTAACAACAAAAAGAACAACAACGATTGCAGCCTGTTTTCTGAAAAGAACTAGGAAATTATATAATGAATGAGTTTGAGTTAATGCATAAAAAAGATGGAGTGTAAATACGGATCTCTACCGTGTCATTTTTGCATAGTCATTTATCTGTCTATAGCTACACTCCATTCAGTTATGATCCTCTTTTCAGCAGTTTTAAGTTCAGAATAAATTAAACCTTTGAAAAAATATGTTAAGCTTTGAGAAAGTCTGAATAAATATGGATTTATACAGTTTCCCAGCACAGATTTAAATACTACAGAAGGGTACTATTGCCCAAACATATTAAGGTCCTGAAGCAACAAATAAGACACAAGAATGAGAAGACAAGAAGGCCAAAGACCTTGTTATCAAACAACTCT